CAAGAGTGCAGATACAGGTAGTTAAGTCATGCACCCTTATGTATTGAAAGGCATGATAAGAGCATGTCACAAGCTAAACCCATAATATGGTTTAGCTACCCCCACAGCAATGCAACCAATCCCTTCAAATAGCTAACAGTATGTGGCTAGGGTGGCACAGTGACTGTCTCTATTCGAGGGCCCATGCCCTCCCCTTGGGGGATGGGTAGATGGCAACCACAGCTGGCCCTACTTACCCTACAATTGGGCTGGTAGATACACCTGGGGTCACCCTTACCTGCCAGAAACATTCTGTTCCATTTAGACACCATTCCTACTAACTGAGAGAGTGTAAAAGCCAGGCACTTCCAGAAGTGTGCATCCTGGTGGTTTTATCCTTTGGCCATTTTTGCCCCCAAGTGGCAGCAACAGATATAGAGCTGCAAATTGGAGCCTTCACTAAACATATGGCTGCAGCCTTCAAGGATACCTGTGCCATGCCATTACTCTTCACTGGGCAACTATGTAAAATTGCATGGCCCTGGACATCTTAACTGCTGCCCAGGGTGAAGTTGCACATTAATATATACACTAATGTGGTATATATATCCCTGATTACTCTCACATTACAACCGGGGCTATGTGAACCCTAGAAACCCATATTTCAGCTATAGCATCTCTATCTTATGACCCTATAACCATGTGGTTTAATCAACTTCAAGTGCTTGGAAAAGCTTTCTGGAAAGTATAATTGTTACTATGCTTGTCATTGTCTTTTGTTGCAGTGGTTTCTACTGCTGCTGCGGCATCTGGCAGCAATGCTCCTGCACATACCTTGACCCAGGGAAACTGCAGAGAATGGTATGATAAGAACAGGGGGGCCACTCAAGCGTATGCTGGGCTGTAGTGTATGGCAGATGCACCTGACAGCAATTAACTCCAGCACACCCTATGGTCTAAGAAGACTGTGTGTCCAGAGTTCCAAGCTAAGGAATCCAGGAGTGGCCAACCCAGAAATGCATTCCTTATCTATCAAGGCCATGTGAACTCCTGGTCTATTTCTTGGAAAGCAAGCTATATAGTGAATCAAGGCCATTTCTATTGGGTTAAATGGAGGATGCCAGGTGGAGATTGCTAAATGAAAATGCCATCTATAACCTGCGTGCTTTTCACAAATTGTTGCTTTTCACAAATTGTAGGAGTTGTTTTCCTGTCCAGCCGGCTGTTCTTGGACTGCCCTGCATGTAGGTTTTCAATAAACCCTATGTCTCCTTCACGATTCCAAGTCTCTTTGGCCTTTCAGACGTGGTGCCATCCTTAATGAAGTCAGCAGGGGCCTGGCACAAGTATACACCTTTTTATTAGTCTCCCTTCAAGTGATATGACACCACTTCACATATAAGAACTGTATCACGGTATACTTTCATCTCCCCTCTCCCAATCTTCACACTACTGTTGTCACACATTTTATTTATAAATATTTTATAAACTCCAAAATACACCACTTTTGTCTGTTGAAATAGTCGATTATTATTAGTCAGGGTTCTCCGAAGGAACAGAACCAAAAGGATGCATATGCCCACGTGTTATGTGTGTGTAGTGTGTGGGTGCATGTGTGCACACATGCTTTCTGGGTTTTGAGATGGGGTCTTGCTCTGTTGCCCAGGCTGGGGTCCAGTGGTGCAATCATAGCTCACTGCAGCCTCAATCTCCTGGGCTTAAGCCATACTCCCGCTGTGGCCTCCCAAGTAGATGGGACTACAGGCAGACACCAGTATGCTCAGCTAATTATTTTATTTTTTGTAGAGGCAAGGTCTCACTATGTTGCACAGGCTGGTCTCGAACTCCAGGCCTCAAGCAGTCCTCCTAACTCAGCCTCCCAAAGCGCTAGCATTACGGATGTGAGCTACCACATCCATCCAGTGTATGAGATTTAATATAAGGAATTGATTAGTGTGATTGTTGCTACTGGCAAGTCCAAATCTGCTGTGTGAGTTGGCAGGCTCAAGACCCAGATAGAGTTGGTGTTCTAGTTTGAAAGTCATTAGACAGGAAGAGCCAATGCTGCAGGTGAAGTCCAAGGCAGTAGTACGCTGTAGAAATCCATCTTGCTCAGGGGAAAGGTCAGCCTTTTTTTAACTATTCAGGCCCTCAATTGATTAGATGAGGCCCACCCACATTATGAAGGGCAATCTACACAGGCCTACTAATTTAAATGTTAATCTCATCCAAAATCACCCTCACAAAAACACCCAAAATAATTTTTGACCAATATCTGGGCACTATATGGCCCAGCGTAGTTGACATATAAACTTACCATCACAATTCCTTTTTAAAGGAATAAATAATGACACTAATATATATTTATTCACATCATTACCATTTCTGGTGCTCTTTTATTCCTTTGTGTGGAGATTTCCACCTGGCATTTTCCTTCTGCCTGAAAGACTCTGTCAATCTGCTGTAAACTCTTTCTTTTAGGCTTTAATTTACCTTCAAACTTCTTTATTTCACCTTTGTTTTTGAAGAATATTTTTTGCCAGTTCTAGAACTCTAGGTTAACAGTTTATTCGTTCAGGACTTTAGAGTTTGCTCACTTACACTGTTTCCATTGAGAAGTGTGATGTCATCTTTGTCATCCATTACTTTCCACTTCAAGTAACATGTCCTTTCTCCTGGTTGCATTTAAGATTTTCTTTTTATTACTGGCAAGTTATGATGAGCCTTGGTGTATTTTTCTTCGTATTTCTCGTACTTAAGGTTTGTGGAGCATCTTGAATCTGCAGACTTAGTTTCCATTACATTCAGAAAATCTTTGGCCATTATTTCTTCAAGTATTTTTCCTATTCCATCCCCATCCCCACTCCTCTCCTTCAGGGACTCCAATCAGCATAGATAAGGCTGTATAAATTTGTCCCACAGGTCACTGATGTTGTGTTCTTTAAAATTCTTTTATTCTGTGTATATTTCATTTTGGGTAGTTTCCATTGCTCTGTCTTCTAGTTCGCCATTTTTTTCTTTTGTAATATTTAATCAACTATTAATCCCATTCTGTACATTCTTCACCTTAATCATCAGTCTTCATCTTTAAAATTCTGATCTGGTCTCTATATACCTCTGTGCAGAATATACTTATAATAAATTTTTTAATATCCTTCCATGCTTATTCTAACATCTGTGTCAATTCTAGGTCAGTTTCAGTTGATTATTTTCCTCCATTATGTGTCACTGTTTTCCTATCTTTTTCAATGTGTGACAATATTTGACTGGATGCCAGACATTGTGAATTTAGATTGTTAGGTGCTCTTCTTTTTGTTTATTCCTACCAATTTTCTAGGGCTTTATTCTGAAATGCAGTTAAGTTATTTGGAAAGAGTTTGATCCTCTTGGGTCTTGCTTTCATGATCTGTAAGGTGGGTGTGGAGCAGTACCAGAGAGCAGTACTCTCTACTGATGAACCAAGATTTTCCTGAGTATGCTACCCAGTGCCCATGATCCATGAGTTTTCTGGTCTGGCTGATACGAACCAGCATTGTTCCTGGCCCTGTGTGAGCACCAGGAACCATTCCCTCTAATAGTTTTAGAAGCTTCTCTCTCCAGCCATGGGTAGATTTTCATAGGCATGTGCGGATCAGAACTCTGCTGAACACCTAGGAAGTTCCTCCATAGATGGCGAGGGTTCTCTCTCTGTCCGGCTCTCTCCTCTCCAGGACACCACCCAGTACTTTGTGCACTCTCACTGCTTTGTTCTCCGTGGACTCCTGGCTCCATTCCTCAACTCAGCAAGTCTCCCTCACTCTCCCTCAGTTAAGCCAGACTTAGACGGCCTAGAAACTTCCTCAGGCAGAGGGTAGGGCAATCATAGGTTGACCTTGTTTGTTTCACATTTCTCAAAAATCACCGTCCTTCACTGCCTGATGTCTGGTGCTTTGAAAACTTGTTGTTTGACATACTGTGCCTGTTTTGTTTTTGTGTTTTTATTTTAGTGGCTGCAGATAAGAAAATAATTCCTATTTACTCCATTCTGGCTGAAAGTAAACCTCTACGACATGGTTCTTTCTTTTTTATTGAAGACACGGTCTCACTCTGTTACCCAGGCTGAAGTGCAGTGGCATGATCTCCACTCACTGCAACCTCTGCCTCCCATGTTTAAGCAATTCTTCTGCCTAAGCCTCCTGAGTAGCTGGGATTACAGGTACACACCACCATGCCCAGCTAATTTTTCTATTTTAGTAGAGGCGAGATGTCACCATGCTGGCCAGGCTGACCTCAAACTCCTGACCTCAAGTGATCCGCCTGCCTCAGCCTCCCAAAGTACTGGGATTACAGGCAGGAGCCATTGCACCCAGCCTACAACACGGTTCTCAATCAAGGATGTGCACACGAGAATTGCCAGCACAGCTTCTACAGCATGTACATGCCTTGGTGCCTCCCTGGAGATCCAATGAGTTTATTATATTCAGTCTGTCCTACATTCATCTTCTCAACTTCAACCTCTACCTTTCCCCAAAATACACCTTGTTCTTTAGCCTCATTGGATACCTGCCCCTCCATTTTCTCCACACCTTAACTCACACTGCTGCCTCTGCTTGAAACAATCATCCCCATTTTCCACCTGCCAAACTCCTACTAATCCCTCAAATCTCAAAACTGTCACCTCTGCTGTGAAAACTTTCCCATCTCACCCCCAACAGAGCCCTTCCCTAAACTTCTGTAACATTTTATTTCTACTGCCAGCAAACACTGGCTCCTACTATATTATAGTGAGTGCTGTGTGTCTGTCTCTCCAACGTGCTTATGAACGCATAAAGAAGTGAACAGATTTTTTAATCACTAGCACCCCATAACAATGTGTTAAATAAATGTTTGTTGAATGAAGTATATATCCATTTATTAACCATCTTTTCTGACACTCTTACTAGCTGCATGCTCTGTTTCCTCCTACCTCTTCGGACTTCTCTGTTTATTCTCTTATCTGAAAGATTTCTAAGGAGTCCCAAGTCCTAGAAATTTCTGCTCACCTTGAAATCGCTTTAGCATTTCCTTCATCAATGGTATCTGACACACTGTTTTCATCTTTGGAGCTTCAAGGGAATAGTTCACATCCTGGATCTCACTCCTAAGAAAGTAGAGAAGACTGATCTTACTGGACAACTAGGGTAACCAAGACCCTCACTCGCAGTCAAAGGTTCTCAGCCCAAAGTTCAGATGGCTTTTGTTCCCATTCCTCCTTCCAGAAGTGATCAGGAGTATTTTTCCTCAGATCCCCTTCAGGGTATGCTCAGACTGACCCGTGGAGCCCAGGCCTTGTTTCCCCTCTGCTCAGCCTGTACCTTTACCATGCCACCCAGGTCCCCATAAGAGAACAGGAGTGCATACCTGGTCAACACATCTTTCGGATTCTGTGAAAAGAAGGAAGAAATAAGCAAGTTATGAATCTTCTCCTAGAGATCTGGGACACAACTATGTGAGCAGGTATTTTCTGACAGTTGCTTTTGCACATGTCACATATGATTTTCTGCTGCCAAAGCCAATGGATTGACAGAATCTGGTCGTTTGTTTCATTGGCTCCTCTGCACTATTCGACAATGCTGACTGGTCCCTTTCCTAGGCCTCTACTCTTTCTCCTTGGGCACCATGACATGAACTGGGTCCTGGCTTCCCGCCAGCCTCCCCAACTAGTTTCCATCACAGAGCCCGCTCCTACGCCTGCCTTTTGGTGGAGTCCTCAGAAGCGCCAGCTTTGAGCTTCTGCTCTTCTCCTTCCCTTTGTCTTACAAGATTACTTTTAAATTATAATCGTAAGGGATATTTTATTATGCCCAAGTCCAAAGAGTTTTTTCTACAGGTAAATTTTACTAAACTTTAGGGAACTGAAAATGCCTAAGTTGTAACAGAAAAGAGAAAAACAGAAAATTTTCCCAACTGATTTTTCAGAGACTATTATGGTCCTTAAGCCATGAAACAAAATATTTAAAAAAATATATAAACCCGTTTTACTTAAACACATAGATGCAAAAATTCTAAGTAACAAAATCAGGTAACCAGTGCCAACATGTATTTAAAAAATACAGCTCCTCCAAAAACCTGTAACCCAGCCTAATCATGAGAAAATCATTAGACAAATTCCAATGGGGGAAGCCTACAAAATACCTGACTAGCACTCCTCAAAAACTGTCAATGTCATCAAAAACCAGAAAAGTCTGAGAAAATGGCACAGCCAAGAGGCAACTAAGGAGAGACACTGACAACCAAATATAATCTGGATTCCTAGGTGTGGGTCTGGAGAATAAAATGAACACTAGATAAAACTGAGGAAATGGAAATAAACGACTGAACTCTAGTTAATAATACTCTACCACTGGTTCATTAATTGTAACAAATGAACTATATTAACACTAGATGTTGACAACACAGGAAACTGGGTAAAGGGGTATGTGAGAACTCTGTCCGATCTTCTCAACTTTTTTGTAAATCTAAATTGTTCATTTAAAAAATGGTTAATTACCACATGAAAAGTGCTCAATCTCACTAGTTATCAGGAAAATAACTTCATCAGGACAGGTGTAGTGGCTCATGCCTGTAATCCCAGCACTTTGGGAGGCTAAGATGGGTGGATCACTTAAGGTCAGGAGTGTGAGATCAGCCTGGCCAACACAGTGAAACACTGTCTCTATGAAAATACAAAAATTAGCCAGGCATGGTGGCAGGTGTCTATAACCCCAGTTATGTGGGCGGCTGAGGCATAAGAATTGCTTGAGCCTAGGAGGCAGAAGTTGCATTAAGCCAAGATGGTGCCACTGCACTCCGGCCTAGCAACAGAGTGAGACCCTGTGTTTAAAAAAAAAAAAAAAAAAAAGAAACTATCTTTATCAAGGAAAGGTAGAGATATATATATATATATATCTCCATATAAGTTTAGAAAGAGGGAAGGGGTGCTGACTAAGGGCAGAAGATGACATTCTGCACCCTTCAACATGGCTAAATTAAACAAGTGACAAATCTAAGTATTGGTGAGGATGCAGAGCAACTGGATCTCTAACTTTACACATTGCTAACAATACTGTAAACTAGAACCATCACTTTGTACCAGTTTGAAAATGGTTTGGAATCATCTACTAAAGCTGAACACACATGTATGTTCTACAACCCGGAATTGTTCTCACAGGTATACAGCTAATAGAAATGTGTATAAATGTGCAGCCAAAAAGATATGTTCACAAATATCCCTGTTTTTATTTAATAATAAAAACAGAAATCATCCAAATTTCCCTCTAAAGAAAAATGAATAATATGCTTTGGTATATTAATATAATGGAATATGACAGGCACTACTGATGTTTTGGTCTCAATAAGTCTTTGCTGGGAGCTGAAGGCAGGCATGTCTTGTACATTACAGAATGTTTGGTAGTATCCTACACACAAGAGATGCTAATAGTAACCACCCTCGAGTTGTGACAACCAAAAATGTCTCCATAAAACGTCAGATTTTGCACTCTGAGGGAGCCAAATCACCCTGATTGAAAACACTGGTGTATAGCAATGAAAAAAATACTTACTGCATGAATCCATCTCACAAACGTAATGTGAGCAAAAGAAGCCAATACAAAAGAGTGCATCCTGTAAGATACTCACTCAAAAATACGCACGAGTGCCAGGCGCAGTGGCTCATGCCTGTAATCCCAACGCTTTGCAAGGCCGAGGTAAATGCATCACTTGAGGTCAGGAGTTCGAGAACAGCCTGGCCAACATGGCGAAATCCCGTCTCTACTAAAAATAAAAAATTAGCCAGGCGTGGTGGCACATGCCTGTAATCCCAGCCACTTGGGAGGCTGAGGCAGAAGAATCGCTTAAACCCAGGAGGCAGAGGTTACAGTGAGCTGAGATCACATCACTGCACTCCAGCCTAGGCAATATAGCAAGATTCCATCTCAAAAAAAAAAAAAAAAGCAAAACGAAACAAGAGTATGAGCGGCCCAGAAGGAGGCTATCCCTTTGAGGAGAAGAGAAGGGCGTATTGACTGGGGACATGAGGAAGCTTCTAGGATGCTATGTGTGTTCTACTTTTTGACTTCAGTAGTAGTTACATGAGTGGTCCCTTTGTGATAGTATGTCAAACTTATGATTTACACATTTTTCTCCATGGGTGTCATACTTTTTATTTAAATAGAGACAAGGTCTTGCTAAGTTGCCCAGGCTAGTGCAAATTCCTGAGTTCAAGAGATCCTCCCACCTCAGCTTCCCAAAGTGCTGGGATTACAGGCATGAGCCACTGTACCCGGCCTTAAAACGTGTTTTAATGTTTATTATGACAATAAATGTAACAACTTGTCAAAACCTGTGGAATACAGAGCAATACTTAAAGATAAAAGTATAACAAATAAATTTACCAGCAAACAAAAGGGTAAATATAAATAAGCCAAGCATTCCAACTCAAGAAGTTGAAAACTAGAGAAGAAACCCCAAGACCAATTTAAATAAAACAGCTGGGGACATGCCTCACACCTGTAATCCCCCAACCCTTTGGGAGGTCAAGGTGGGAAAATTACTTGCGCCCAGAAGCTCAAGTGTGCAGTGAGCTATGAACACACCACTGTACTCCAGCCCAGGTGACAAAGCAAGAGCCTGTCTCAAAACCTACATAAATAAAATAAAAATAAAGATAAAAAAGAGCAGATATTAATGGTTTCACTGCAGCATTATTTGCAGTGGTGATGGTGTTGGAGGCAACCTGGGTTATCTATTACTGGAAAAAGGAAGAGGTAAAATGTGAAGTATGCACACGTGAGTTAGAAGTGGGTCATGGGGTAAAAGTGAAGAAATAAATTTTAAAAATGGATGGAGAGATAAGTATAGTAAGTTCTCTCAGGCTCTGACATTCTATGTTTCAGTTTCATTTTTTCTTTGTTTTACCTTGTTTTTTGGAGACAGTCTTACTCTGCAGTACAGTGGCACGATCTCGGCTCACTGCAATCTGTCTCCTGGGTTCAAATGATTCTCCTGCCTCACCCTCTCAAGTAGCTGGGACTACAGGTGCCTAACACCATGCAGGACTAATTTTTGTATTTTCAGTAGAGACAGAGTTTCACCATGTTGGCCAGGGTGGTCTCTAACTCCTGACCTCAGGTGATCTGCCCACCTCAGCCTACCAAAGTGCTGCGATTACAGGCATGAGCTACTGCACCCAGCCCCACTTTCATCTTTTTTAATCATTTCCCTAACTTTGCATTTCTGTTTGTTGATATAATTTTTTTGTAAGCATTCTGCTGGTTCACATGTATCTCAGAGGTTTCAAATTCTAATTAGATGTTAAGCCTGTATTTTAAATGTGTTATTTCAGAGACTTTTTCATGACACACATTTGGATATGTACTTGGAACTTCATTCCTTAATCATGCTGTAAAACTTTTGCATAATTCTTGGAAATCATTACATTTAATATTAAATGTTGTATCTATCACATAAAACCCAGCTAGCAATTTCTTATTGATAATAACTAGTGATTGGGTCCAGGTTTCTCTCTTCCTTAAGAGTAGAACAGAATGTTGTCTCTTGCTTACGAAAAAAATAGTAATGGTACACAGAAAATGTTTTTGAGAATATCTTTCAGAGATCATTTCACCTTCAGTCACATGATACGGAAGAAAGAGAAGTTCTAAGACATCTGAGGCCCAACATGAATTATTTCAGCAGTCACAAATGTAGGACCCTACCCAGAAACTAAAAGAAGCGATAAGGATACTTCACCTAAAGAGAATATAAAGGTAAAGATTAACTCAAAGGAAGGCCTTTTGATAACAAACTGGCCTAATGACCCAACCTTAAATGCTGAGTTACAATTGTAATTTTTTGAATGTTGCTAGATACTGGAAATTATTTAAATGAAAGCGCCACTCAAAATATGGGGATAAGAACAAAGTTTAATTAAGCTGTGATTGTAATAAATATAAGCGAGAAAGATATGTTTCTCTTATTGTTGATACAATTATGTACTTGGGAGTTTTATGCTTGCTTTGTTTTATTTTTTTTTTTTTGAGACGGAGTTTCGCTCTTATTACCCAGGCTGGAGTGCAATGGTGCGATCTCAGCTCACCACAACCTCCACCTCCTGGGTTCAGGCAATTCTCCTGCCTCAGCCTCCTGAGTAGCTGGGATTACAGGCACACGCCACCACGCCCAGCTAATTTTTTGTATTTTTAGTAGAGACGGGGTTTCACCATGTTGACCAGGATGGTCTCGATCTCTTGACCTCGTGATCCACCCGCCTCAGCCTCCCAAAGTGCTGGGATTACAGGCTTGAGCCACTGCACCCGGCCTGTTTTATTGTTTAGTAAAGAATTATAAATGTACAAATAAGAAGAATGAAAAAGTCTCAGACATGCTAAGTGTCTGATCCTAGATGAACTATGAGACCATGTGAATCAACTTATCTCCTATGACCTGAGCTCAGCATACCTAAATTTCACATTCATTTCCTTTGAATGGTGAATCTGACTTTGTAGTTGTGTGACAGCAGTAACAGAACTAGCAACAGGCTGGGTGCGGTGGCTCAAGCCTGTAATCCCAGCACTTTGGGAGGCCGAGGCGGGTGGATCACGAGGTCGAGAGATCGAGACCATCCTGGTCAACAAGGTGAAACCCCGTCTCTACTAAAAATACAAAAAGTTAGCTGGGCATGGTGGCGCGTGCCTGTAATCCCAGCTACTTAGGAGGCTGAGGCAGGAGAATTGCCTGAGCCCAGGAGGCGGAGGTTGCAGTGAGCCGAGATCGCGCCATTGCACTCCAGCCTGGGTAACAAGAGCGAAACTCCGTCTCAAAAAAAAAAAAAAAAGAACTAGCAACAGAGATAAGACATGTCTATGAAACCCACTCACCAGGAAGGACATTCAGCTCTTAAGACAAGAGGGAGTTCAGTTATGAAGGAAGACAAGATCATCCCCACCCATAACTGTCTCACCTGCAACATCTCCAGGCTGGAGGCCTGCCTCTTCTCCCCAACCTCTAAGATGAGCTTCTTCAATGAAGCAATTGTTTGATTGAGTTTTATCCTGTTCTCATTCAGCTTCGTCTTTGTCTCTTCTTCTTCTTTGCTCAGTCTCTGAAGAAACAGGTCCTCTTCTTCCACCAGGAAGTTGTGCAGCTTTGAAAACTCCGCGCTGATTCTCATTCGCTGACTCTTTATCTTATCCTATGGCCACATAAGATTTGCTCACTCCTTTTTCTGCCTGACCCCAGCTACTAAATTCCTTACACAATTCCCCAGTAATCCACAGTCCTTTCCATCTTAATCAATCCCTCTAAAAAAGCTCCTGCCCATCCCCTTAAGTTTCCATTACTCCTTTATTTATATCTACTTGATAGCTCTATCCTAGTCATTATAGTACTCATTCATTCTTCCTAACATTTCAGTCTCTACTACTGACAAGTTTTAAACTAAAACAAACTTTTAAATCTACCACTTAGTTTAGCCCTCAGAACACTGGTTTAGTTTTGTTAAATCTTTAGGAGTGTGTGTGTGTATGTGTGTGCGCACAAGCACCCATGTATACTTCCCAACTACAATTAGCCTCCCTGAAAACAAATCCATTCACCTGTTTCCTTCCACAATGCCATGGGCCCAAACCGACTCCAACGTAGGGAGTGTATTTAGGAAAAGGTAAGAAGGATAGGGGCGCTCCCTTAAAGTAGAGACATGGAGATGAAATATGTGGAACTCATACCACCCAAAGACACTGGCAGCAGGGACAGGTACTTCCTCTCCTATCCCCGTATCTACAAGGGGCCTGACAATTGATGACACCCAGAAAGCTCTTCTTTCAATCACATGCTATGGAGGAAACAGAGGTTCTGAGGCATCCTGCAAACACCATGACCAAAAGGACTTCAGAAGTAAGAAATGTCCCAGACCGAAAGGACCTCAGGAGCAAGAAACGTCCAACTACTTCTGCTATTACCTTCCACTGTGTAGCGTTCTTTGCTTCTGCATCCTGTAATTGCAAGACTCTCTTCATCTTGGCCCCAAGATCACGCTGAGATTGAAGAAGTTTCTCCTGCCAGCAGAAACACGCACAGGTAAGAAAACATGTCTCCAATCACCATCATCTTCTTTTTTCCTTTCTTTTTTTTTTTTGAGACAAAGTCTCATTTGTCACCCAGGCTGGACTGCAGTGGCCTGATCATGGCTCACTGCAGCCTCAGTCTCCCAAGCCCAAGTGATCCTCCCACCTCAGCCTCCCAAGTAGCTGGGACTACAGGCACACTCCACCAGGCCCGGATAATTTTTTTATGTTTCGTAGTGACAAAGTCTCCCTATGTTGCCCAGGCTGGTCTTGAACTCCTGGGCTCAACAGATCCGCCCACCTCAGCCTCCCAAAGTGCTGGGATTACAGGAATGAGCCACCGTGCCTGGCAGCTTCATTTTTTAAGAGCTAAAAGTCACTTAATCAAAACAGAGAATGAGATTGAGAAAATACTGAAGATAGCCACAGGCCTCTGATAAGAACTATTCTGGCCTGAAAAAATCACAACACTATATTGAGTTTTCCTAGTAAGTTGGCAAAAACATAAGAAGATTAACAAATATCTCCTCCTGGCAGGGAGAAGGCCTCTGGCACCACAGGAGATGAAAAAGGTGCCTTTTTTTTTGAGGGACAACTGGCAGGATTTAACAAAATTTAAAATGTGTATAATGCTACTTCTAATAATCTATGCAACAAAACACTAGCAAAAATAACCAATATGTAAAGAAATGGTCACTACAGCATTATTCATTATCCACTAATTAGGAATTATTAAATAAATTATGGTATACTGATGCTTTGCATCAATTTCGGGTAGCTGTCTATATACTGACATGAAATACACAGTAAGCTGAAAGCAAGCTGTAAGACAATATGTATTGTATAATTCTGTATTAAAAAGACTAAACTTGTGTATGCACATATGTGTTCATCTGTGTGTGTGTGTATTTGTACATGAAGACAAGGGAAATCTGGAAGGATTTATACCTAAGTATTAATGCTGGCGACTTCCAAGGAATAAGAATGGCTTACAAGTTGGGAGATGGGGTACTAGAAATCTTATACATTTTTGCTTTAATTTCTACAAGTGTCATATACCATTTTTATAATTTAAAAACCCGAGTAAGTTCTTTAAAAATAAAGCAAGTCAATCAACATTGACAAATTGGGCTGAGGGGCAGCACCCAATAGCAGAATGTGAGCTGCAAGGGCAGAGATGGAGGCAGAGACAGGTTAGAGAAACACGCAAGAGAAAAACCCACTGGAACTGATGACCATATGGCTGCAGGAGGAGAGTCCACATGTACCCGCTGGGTTCTAGTTTAAGTAACCGGATGGACTGCAGGTTATTTATCAAATTAAAAAATATAGGAAGATAAGCAGTGTGTAAATGGAGGAAGGAAAATAAATTCCACCTAAATAAATTGAGTTTGAGATGCCTGCGGGACCTGCAAGTGGATATGTTAGCAGTCGAGTCAGGAAGGAGAGCTATGCTGCAGAAGCAGATTTCAGGATTAAAGAACAGGTGGCGGTTAGGGCCTTGGGTGAGTGTAAAATCACCCAGTAAGATTCTACAGAATAAGAGGATGAAGGGTAGAACTGGCAACAGCTACATTTAAGCAGTATGTAGAGGATAAAAATCCTGCAAAGAAGCTAAGGTGAGCAGCTGGTAAAAAACCAAGAGAGAGAGAGAGAGAAAAAAAAAAAAAAAAGAGAGAATGGTTTTTCCTTTGCCAAAGGAAGAGACCATTTAAATTACAAAATTAGTGAATAGTGTCAAATGCTGGACAGTGGCCTGGGGCAACTTTCTATAAGTTTGAATATATGTCAAAAAAAAAAAAAAAAGGAAATGATTAGACCTAAGAAATAATCTGTAAAAAAAAAAAAAAAAAAAAGAGAGAGAGAGAGAAAGGAAAAAAATAATAATCTGTACAACTTTTTAAATTCTTCCCTAGAAAAATAATAATGACTAATAGGTATAACTTTTCATCCAATCATTTACAAGTGACAATAGTTAATATCAAGTTAAATAACTGTCAAGGCTGATAACATCAAAGTTGGCAAGGATATGGAGCAACTGGAACTCTTACACAACATCGGTGGGTGAGTGGAATGTTACCACCATTTTGGAAGAACGTCCAGCATAAAACTAAACATACATTAATCCTAGGGTACAGCAATTCTACTCCTAGACCCAGGAAAAATGAAAACATGTACCCATAAATAAACATGTACAAGAATATTCACAGCAGCTTCTAGAAGCTGCAAACAGCCCAGGTATTCACTGATAGGAAGGTGGGTTAAAAAATGGCAAAAACCACAATTACATTTGCACCCACCTATACAAAATACGAATCTCAAAATCAATATGCTGAGCAAAAGGATCCTACATAAGAATACAGACAATGGAATCACATTTATATGAAGTTCTAGAAAAGGTAAAACTTAATTTGTGTTTGAAAAAAAATCAGAATGGTGGTTATCCTGGTAGAGGAAGGGTGCAGAGAACAACTGGGAAAGGGCATGAAAGAGTTCTCTGGGTGGTAATATCCTTATCTTGAGAAGGGCATTTGTCAAAGCTCAGCAAATGTACAACTAAGATTTGTGTTTTTCATTGTATTAAATTTTACCTAAAAAAATACCATAGGCCAGGCTCGGTGGCTCACATCTATAACCCCAGCACTTTGGGAGGCCAAGGCAGGTGGATCACCTGAGGCCAAGAGTTCGAGACCAGCCTGGCCAACCTGGTGAAACCCTATCTCTACTAAAATCCAAAAAAACAGCCAGGTGTGGTGGCACAGGCCTGTAATCCAGCTACTTGGGAGAATGAGGCAGAAGAATCGCTTCAACACAGAGGCGAAGGTTGCAGTGAGCCAGCATTGCACCACTGCACTCCAGCCTGGGTGACAGAGCGAGACTCTACTTATTAAAAAAAAAAAAAGTACCATAAACAAATGTTAAGCCTGGTTAATGATATACATGCTAAAGTATTTTGTTTGCAATTGAATTTTAAAAGCTTCGAAAGGAAGTAAGAATTGATGTATTAAGAGAGACACAGACAACAGCTATGTGATAAACAAGTCAAATGTTAATGGTAGAATCTAGATGTAGGCATACTGGTGTTATTATAAAATTCTTCCAACTTTATGCTTGAAATTTTCATGGCAAAATGAAATAGGAAAAAATAAAATTAAGTTATAAAAAGGATTTATACAGTTCTGTTAAATGGCACAGTATCATCTGTGCTATTTTCTTTCTACCATGTTTCCCAACATTACATAATCTATTTATCATCTTTAGTGGTTAACTTTAATAGGCATATAACCCTGCTACTCAGTAAGCTCTCTTATGTAATTTCACCTCTTTATTCAATTATAACTGCCACTTTATAGTCACTGTCAAATACGATGTATATGAGGTTTGTAATGAGATAAATATTTGCTCCTTCAAACATGACCAGGCTTTTTGGAACGTTCTCACTTTTGCTTAACAATGAAAAAATAATTATCTACTAAATAGGATTTTCTATTTTTAAGAAAGCCTTAACAAGTCAGTGTGCATGAATGATCTCATATGGTTCTATTATTCAAGACTCTACCTAAGTCTTTTTGAATCCAGCCACAGTTGGGATCTAAACTGGGAGGTGAGTTAACTTGGCAATCCTTGGGGGAAATTAGAAAACACCTTCCCTGCAACAACAGAAACTGCCAGGAGGTGGCAGGAGCGCAACACCAAGCATTTCAATCTGGGTTAGAAATACCGGAAATTTAAAAAATCACTTTCTCTTCATTTAGCACCAGAAAATTGTATATATATAAAACATAAGTATAATAAAAGGCGTACTTTTACAGAATGAAGACATTTACTGACTTGTGATCATGTAGTTCAAACAACATTAAACTTCCAAAGATCCTAGTTTCACTCTAGACTTTCAAACCAGCTGTGCATCTGTGAGCAAGTCAGCCTCACTTATTTTCTGATCAAAGCTCCCTTACTTATAAAATGAAGACAATTGGACTAAATGTCTCTTAAATACCATCCCAGCTCTTAAGTTTTGTGAATTCCAGTCACTGTAACTCCTGCAATCAATCCAAGGTGGTAGGTCTACCTGCAAAATATACCTCAAATCTGCCTACGTGCCATCCCCACTGCCACTGCTAGTTTAAGCCATCACATCTTTCGCCTGGACAACTACAATAACCTCCTGATTGCTCTCCCTACTTACACATGTCCTTCTCTCATACAATATCCACAAAGCCGCTGTAGTAGCGTGATCATAACTCACTGCAGCCTCCAACTCCTCAGTACTTGTCTTGGCCTCCCAAGTAGCTGGGACTACAGGTGTGCATCACTGAATCCAGCTAATTTTTGTATTTTTTGTATTATGGTATCTCAAGTTGCCTAAGGTGGTCCTGAACTCCTGGGCTCAAGTGATCCTCATGCCTCAGCCTCCCAAAGTTTGGGATTACAGGTATGAGACACCACACCTATCCTTGGAATAACTTTTCTAAAAACTAATCAGGTATTGTCACTCTCCTGCTCAAGATTCTTCACTGACTTTCCTTCTCACCAAGAAAATTCTAACACTTTATTGTGGCCCAACATAAGCTGGCCGCTGCCTACATCTCATCTCACTTCTCATGCTACCTTTCGCTTTGCTCTTGGTCCTCCAGGCACAGAGACCTTCTTCCTGTCCCATAAACCAACCCAGCTCTCCCCAGCCTCAGGATCTCTTCCCAGTTACTCAGATGGCTGACTCCTCATCCAGCAAGTTTCAACTGCAATGATGTCACCTCCTCAGAAAAGACTGCTCACCTGATTGAAGCCCCTTCTTTTTTTTTTTTTTTTTTTTTTTTTTGAGACGGAATCTTGCTCTGCACCCAGGCTGGAGTGCAGTGGCATGATCTTGGCTCACTACAACCTCTGCCTCCCGGGTTCAAGCAATTCTCCTGCATCAGCCTCCCAAGTAGCTGGGATTATAAGTGCCCATCGCCCAGCTAATCTTTGTATTTTTAGTAAAGACAGGGTTTCGTCATGTTGGCCAGGCTGTTCTTGAACTCCTGACCTCAAGTGATCCTCGTGCCTCAGCCTCCTAAAGTGCTGGGATTACAGGCGTGGGATAGAACTTTCTTTTTCTTTCCCAGCATGCCAACACCATCTGTAATGATTTCATTAATTTGTCAGTCTATTGTCTACCTCCACTCTCTGCCCAACTGGACTGTGAGCTCCATGGAAAGCCTTTACCTGCCTTGTTTACCACTGGATTCCCAGCGCTGCATCTGGTCCCATACCACAGCACCTGACACAAAACCAGTGCTAATAAATATCTTGAATGAATTAACAGAATGGAGGGATTAGCCCCTAGAGTCAGGCATAAAGGAAAAAAGAGCTGCGCTTGGAAGCCTTTTCCATGCAAACAATTTGCATCCAGAGATTTATGAAGCTATTTCGCTTTCTCTTTTTCTCCCCTCACCATAATGGGTTTAGAATGGGGATATTTTCCATGGATTTAGGGAACTTCCAGCTGTCTAACTTTTAAGACATAGTCCACCCATCTGAGTATATGATGAGAATGGGATACAGGGCAGCTCCACACAGGAGCAGTTTATGTTTTTCAAACTACCTTGGGGTGGGGATGGAATAAAAAAGTGGTTGAATGGGGCAATGACTAAGCAGAGCAGGATGGACAGATGGGCAGGTATCAGAGAATTCTGCCCAGTGACCTGCATCCTGAACACCTATGCAGTCAACCTTGAGACATTCAGTTCATCCCAGTGTAATCCTTACCCACTTGCTCCTGTCCTGTTGGGCCACTGTGTTTAATCCTGAAATCCCACCTCTTCTTTAGTGGTTAGAGGACATCAGTTCAAGCTTAGCCACTTCCTAGCTCTGTGACCTTAGGGGCACATAACCTCACATCTCTGTGCTACTGTTGCCTCATCTTCAAAAAGGGAATAACAGAATCCACCAAACAGGATGTCTATGAGGATTTAAAAATTACAAGATGAAAAATGCTTAGACCTGTTGAGTGGTACATAAGAAGTAATGAACCACTGATAGCTATTACTGCTGAAGATGGAAGATGTAAGGGCTCCGTTCCCCTTTCATACCCATCCACTCATATTTTCCTCGGCCCCCACCCACAAGTGTATTTTCCCTTCCGTTTATCTGATGGATCCTCTCCATGTCTTTTGCTGGCTACTAACCATTGACATTTTCAAAGCTTCTCTTTGTGCTTTATTTTTATTTTTATTTTTAACCCTCTATGTGGTCCCCCTAGGAGAATCTCATCTTCTTACTTCTTCCATGACTTCAAGAATAGGCTGAGGATTCTAAAATGTTATTTCTAGCCTCCAAGGCACCCCAGCTCCTGTCCCTCTTCCTTGGACTTCCTGTCAGTTATGTCACACTCAATATATCCCACAATGAGCATGGGATCTTCTGTCCTAAGACTATACTTCCTCCTGTGTACCTTACCTCAGTTAACATGACAGTCATCTACCTGCCATCTGAAGCAGAAATCTGGACTACCATCCAAAATTCTCTCTCTGTCTCACCCACCAAGTCTAACTGGTCACCAAGTTACTCAACTCCAGCTCATAATCACTCCATCCCTCCCTCTCCATCACCCCTGCCCTGAACTAATTCAGGCCCTTATTACCTCCTGGTTAGAATGGTACCACAGCAGCCTAACTGGCCTTCTCTTCCATTCATCCATGTGGATGTCCAAGTTACCCTTCTAAAACATTTATATCATTCCCTGCCTTAAAACCCTGTAATAACTCCTCATTGCCTGAAAGAGAAAAGTCAATCTTTTTAGTATGGCAAATAAGATCCTTCATGATAAAGCCCTGACTTTTTCTTCAAGCTCATGGCCCACCATCCCCGCTTCCCATGCTCCACGCTCCAGAAGTACTGAGCAACCTCCAGGCCCCTCACACATCACATGCTATTCCACTCCACCACATTTGGAATATGCTGTTCCTCTGGCCTGAAATACCCTCTACCCTACCTCTGTGTACCCTTCAAGAGCTAACACGTTTAACTCCTCAATGGAGCCTTTCCTCACTCCTCAGTGATCACTCTGACCTCAGACCTTCTGCACACTTGGTAAATACTTCAACAACTCTCACATGCACTGAAATTAATGTTCTACACACTTAAGTTCCTTACAAGACAAGGCCCATGTCTTTCTCATCCACTTAAGTCCAGATTCTAAAACAAAGTTTGGCATACAGTAAGCATCAATAAACGTTACTGAGTGAAGGAATGAACATACACTTTCTAGTCCAGCTTTGTGTCTGTTTCCTGTTCATAGTCAGCTGGTAGAACTGTACACTATTTTACAGTTTCCAAACATTTTCACTGTCATTAAATTTGTGTGTTTGGCCAGGCAGGGTGGCACACGCCTGTAATCCCAGCACTTCAGGAGGTAAAGACGGGTGGATCACCTGAGGTCAGGAGTTCAAGACCAGCCTGGCCAACATGGTGAAACCCCCGTCTCTACTAAAAATACAAAATTAGCTGGGCATGGTGGCACGTGCCTGTAATCTCAGCTACTCGGGAGGCTGAGGCAGGGGAATCACTTAAAACCGGGAGGCAGAGGTTTCAGTGAGTCGAGATTGTGCCACTGCACTCCAGCCTAAGTGACAGTGCAAGACTCCATCTCAAATATAAATAAATTAAATAAATAAATAAAATTTTGTGTTTATGTACTTACTGCAGATCAATTCTGCTGGAGACCCCTGGAGTTACAGCATCAGTAATGGAAGGGGGTGGGGCTACTCTGGAAAGGATGATCAGGGAAGGTCTTCAAGCTAAACAGTTAAAAGGATCTAAAGGATAGAAGATGTGGGTAAAGAAAGAGAGCAGACTTGAAACAAAAGCAAGAAAGCCAGTGTGGCTGAAGCAGAGTAAGGTAAACTGACTTACACAACTGAAGCTTCTTAACCCATGAGATAGATAGGACAGATAATCCCAAAATTCAAATGTTAAGTGATTTTCCCAACTGATGAAGGAAGCTAGTAACAAAGCCCGCCCTCATCATTACAAGTCAGGCTTTTTCCACACCATCAGTTGTCTATTACATCTACAGATATAGACAGGCACTGTCCAATACAGCATCCATTTAGCCACACAAACACCTAAAATGTAGATATTCCAAACTGCTAAGTGTTATAAACGTAAAATACACACTGATTTCAGACCTATTATGAAAAAGGAGTATAAAATATCCACTGAGGCCGGGCACAGTGGTTACGCCTGTAATCCCAGCACTATGGGAGGCCAAGGGGGACGGATCACTTGAGGTCAAGAGTTCGACACCATCCTGGCCAACATGGTGAAACCCCGTCTCTACTAAAAATACAAAATTTAGCCAGGCCTGGTGGTGTGCGCCTGTAATGCCAGCTACTTGGGAGGCTGAGGCAGGAGAATTGCTGGAACCTCGGAAGCGGAGGTTGCAGTGAGCCAAGACAGCGCCACTGCGCTCCTGCATGGGCAACAAAGTGAGCCTCAAAAACTCATTGATAATTTTCATCTCAATTTCGAATATTTGGGGTAATGATTAAATAAGACATATTATTAAAATTAACATCGCCTCACTTCCTTATGTTTCTATAAAGATTTTAAATTACATATGTGGTCTGTATTACTTCTATTGGACAGCAGCGGCACACAGGCTCTTCAGTATGTTTTTCTTTATCAGGCGCTCCCCAAGGGCCAATTCCTTGAAAATTCTACACAAGAATTCAGAGCTGGTTTAACCCAACTCTGAATTTCGCATGTTGCTTAAAACTTCTTTGAGCTTCAGGGCTTTCATGCTTCCTTCTAACAGGAATGACGGCCACTTCGTAGCTCTTTTAGGAGAATTTAAGTAAACTTTATCGGGCAATATCGTAATGGTCACCGCTACGGCCAGCTCACCCGGTAGCTCTCGACGGCTTCGTCGATGGGTGTCATGACGTGGGTCTGGTGCTGCTGGGACTCCCTGCACACCAGGCACACCGGCAGCTGGTCATCCTCGCAGAAGAGCCGCAGCGGTTCCCAGTGGCGGCCGCAAAGGCCGGGGGGCACCGGGCCCTGGAGCCGGCGCTGCGTCCTCTCCGTCAGCCTGGCCAGGGCCCAGTTGGGTCGCAGGGCGGCGGGCGCCGATGGGTGCCGGCATTCGGGGCAGGGGAACGGGCCGCCGCCCGGCACGCAGCTGCGGTGTAAGCAGCTGCGGCAGAAATTGTGGCCACACTCGATGGACACCGGGTCCCGGAAGTAGTCCAGGCAGATGGAGCAGGTCAACTCCTCCTGGAGGTCCTTAATTTCCATCCTGCTTCCCTGCCCAGGAGCCGGGGTCCGACGTGAGGCTCGGGAGAAGCCAGCCAGCTGCGAGATATCGCTGGGAAGCCAGACGACTTCCGAACCGCGGCAGGCGCCTCACGTAGGAGACGCCACAGCATCTCTTCCGGGTTCAAGACCCAATAGGAACTCGCGGGCATTGCCAAGCCTGAACGCGCAAGACCGGAAGCTGCTGGGTTTCCGGGAGGGAAGCGCGCGAGGGTTGGCCCAAGCCTGGGCGCGGGGCAGGACGGGACGGTGGGCGGCTCCTCCAAACGGCTATAGAGACGCAGAAATCCCTGTGGAAGTCTAGAGGGGACTTGGATAAGGTATTAGAGCTAGACGACCTACAGCCCCTGGTGGAATCAATGGAGGAGATGCTTCTCATCTTGTCCATGCTTTCCAAGTTTCGGGGTTCTGGTCTGTGTTCGCCTGCTAGTCCGATTTAAGTTCTGCAGTCTCAGGAGTTCTGGGCGAGCTGCAGCCTAGGGGCCTGCAAAGCCAGGAAGACTTGAAGGATCTGTGTTGCTAGGCCTGGAGTTTGGCTATCGTGGTGCTGTGTGCTTTAGGTTGGCTCTCCCTGAAATCTTCCCTTTTGATTCAACCGCATTCTCCAGGGAGAGGAACCCATTCTTGCCCTGGATCCCAAGGTCTGGTTGAGTTCCTAGAAAGGCAGGACTTCCTACGAAGGCCCACTGACTCCCCCTGGTGTTTGAGAAGTCAAGGGTACCTTGAGAGCCAACTTTTGGGGAGAAGAGCAGGAAAGGCAGTATTTAGCGCACAAGCTGCTGGGGAGCTTGATTTCCGTATCTTCCCAAGCATGGAAAACAGATGCTTGGTAGAGGAAGCCTGTTCTCAGAGCTTGAGACATACAGTGCAGTAGAGGTTCTAATAGTTAAGTTAGGAAAAGAGAATTTGGGGTTAGATGGTCTTCCCCAGGTATGAGATTTCCCATAAGTATTTTAGGTGGTTCAACTCTCAGGAGGTCTGGGAGCTTCAGGAAGCCCTAAGACAACTTTGGGTGATTTGCTGTGGGTGGCTGTCATCTAAGACAGTAGGAAGTAGCAGGTCCTGTGGCAGCCCTTGCTAGAAGTTCCTGACAATTCTACCTGAGGAGATAAAGACCATGGTGTGAAAGCAACACTTGGAGAGTGGAGCTAGCTGAAGCTGTAGCTCTTGTGGAAACTGTGAAAGACCTGAAAGGACCAAGAGAATGAGTGACGAAGAAGTCAAGTTGTTTAAATGGGGATGATTTGGATTTAGAGATACAACCATTTTGCCATCCCAAGAAACTTCCATGGAGGCTTTCAACAAATAATGTGCTTGCCTGCTTCAGGGAATTATCTATATATCTTAAGTGGATTTTTGATCTTGTGTTTATGAGGTACTTTGCTTTTTATTCTTACCACTTTCTCCCTTTTCTTGTGAATGAGAATTGTTAAAAGAAAAGCTCTGGACCAACAAATTTAGCAGAAGTTCTTTGCACCAAGAACAACTCATGAATTAGGCAGCACTCAGAACCAAAAGAGGTTCAGAGAGCTCTGCCCAGCAGTTTGAACTTTTGTTGGAAGCAAAGTAATCACCTGATTGGCTAACAGCTAGGTGTCTGCCTTATTTGGCCATGATATGATGAGGCATTTGCCTTATTGGGGCTTGGTCTGATCAGCTGTCTGTTAATTGGCTGAAGGTAGGCTGTGATTGGCTGAAACACAGCTATTTGCTATTTAAAAAAAAAGTTAGGCTTCAGTTTGTTTACATACTAAGTTTGGTTGTATTTTGTTATATAGGAACTCAAGTAGCAAGACAGCCTCAGGCTTTTTGCTTATTTAACAAAATTTCCATTGTTTTTATGTCCCAATATCAAATACTGCCTTTCCCATAATAATTTTTCTCGGTAAGTAGTATGATTAAATGATTAGAAAAAGGAGTTCCTGAGATATCTGTTTGGGGTCATTGATAAAAGTTCCACTGAATATCTATTTTTAAAACTTTTAAATTAGACAACTGCTGAATTCATTTTCTTTGCAAATTGGAATACTCCATGGAGAAGTAATCTGAGTCTTTAATATACCAAGCAGGAAGGAATGCTCTTAACCATGAATATTTATGGCATGTGTGTGTCTGTCTATGTGTCTACTAAGTATTAGATGAGAAGTTTCAGCGTTCCTGCAAAGTATCTATTTCCTTTACAGTAATCAATTAAATCTTTTCAGGTAAATCCCTTAAAATCCTTATGTCTTCATTCCTGCCATACCAGAGATGACCTTCCTTCTTTACTGAGGCTCCCTAATTCACTATTTTCTCCATCAAAAAATGTCTGTAAGTCTGTGTACCAGCCAACGTTCAATCAGAGAAGTGGAATCACTATGACTCTTTATGTTCACAGGGCAAGCAGTTGAGGAGGGAAGATGAACAGAAAGTAGAGAAGAATAAGAATGAATTGGAACCTAAGACATGAGCTGGTCATTCTTTCCCTGTCTCCAACTTTAAAGATATGGATATCCTTGCTAGAGGAGCTGACACTCTTCACCACAGGACTAGACACACACATGGCTCAGGAATCAAAAAAGCTGAAGGATGGCCCAACATGTGCAACCCAGGGGAAGGCTTCTTCCCCATCCCAACAAGGTGAACCAGCTGATTGGTGACAAAGTGCATGAGCTGCAGTAGCACCTAGTGTCCCTGCACCACCCTTTCCCTTTCAAGTATAAAACTGGAGAGCTGCTTCAGTTCTCTCCTTCAAGACTTACACACCAATATCTTTTTTTGGCCTGTTCTAACCAGAAACAAAAGGGAAGGAAATTCTGGGAAACATAATTTAGCTTATCAAAGTTGACATATTTCAAAATTACTACCGTCCACTCTGTATGGAGTTGACAGCCGTACAGACCTCTAAACATACCTTCAAAATAAAGCCCACATCCTGCACATAAGTTATCTCTAGAGAAATTTGACGTCTGTTGTGCACTGAGGATAACAAACTGTAAACCTAGCCCAGTTGCTGACTAGATTGATACAACTGAACCAACACTATGCACTCAAGGGCACTAAAGACCTAGCAGAAGCAAAGACACACTCATCTCCAAGCATAAAAAATACTTCATACTATGAAGAGGGAATTGAAAAAATAATTTAGGCAAAAAAAAAAAAACCCCACATGTCCAACTTTTAACAGAAAGAAAAAAAAAAGATGCATACATGAAGACAAGAAAAAACACAGTCCAAAGAGAGAAAACAAATCAGTAGAACCTGACTCATAAGACATAGACATTAGAACTATCAAAGATTTTTAAATAACTTTGATTAATGTGATGAAGGCCCTAAGGGGAAAGGTAAACAAAATGCAAGCTCAGATGGGTGATTTTAGCAAATAGATGGAAACTATAAGGAAAAATAAAATAGAAACTATAAAAATAAAACAATTTAATAATAGAGATGAAGAATGCCTTCTGTGGGCCCATTGGTAGACTCACACAATTGAGGGAAAAAAAGATCAAACTTGAAGGTAGGTAAATAGAAATTACTGAACCACAAAGAAAAAAAAAAGTGACAAAAACAGAACAGAGCACCAAGACTGGTGGGAAAATATCAATATCAAATCAAGAAATAATGGCTGAGAATTTCCAAAATTTGTAAGGCACCAAACCAATCCAAGGAGTTCAGAGAACACCGATCAGGATAAATTTTTTAAAAAGAAACTAAGCTTATTGTATTGATACTTGATACACTGCCTAACATCTCCAGATGATCTATTATTTCTGGAAGTTTCCTTTATTATATTGCTTACTTCAGAGAGATATACCCTTGGCTTCATGTTATGGCCAATGGTATAGTCAGTATTCTCAGAGAGAAAGGACTGGTTTCATTTTACCTCCATCCTTTGTTTCTGTCAGAAAACCTCCCGTACCACCAAGTACTCCTTCTCTACACTGCCCATGGAAACGACTGAGTCCAGTTCTCATGTCCCAGACTAGCCTTTTGTTACCCACACAATGAATACGTTAAATTGCTTGGCAGGTGACAGTCCAATGGCCACAACCAAGGAGGATGTCTCAGGGGATTTTATTATTTGTAATAAGTAAGGAGAATACTGAGAATAATACCCCAAAGCAGTGCCTCCCTGAGCAATGGTGCAAACATGGCTTTTATTAGGCTGGTTATCTGAGTCATTGTATGTAGAGGTGGAGTCAAGGCAGCACAGTCCCAGTTGTCAATCATGCTTCTACATATGTCACATGTATAGAAAATGGTGAATAAGCTTCTTGGGCTGGATTTTTAGTATGGTGATGAGGAAAGTTGGCCAAAGTTCATCTCCAATTCAGACATCTTTGGGTCCAAATGGTTTTTGTTTTTCCTGGGCTGAGCTTCTTCCTGGAACTTTTCAAAACAAAAATTCAAGGTATAACACTTACAAGTGGGTAACTTTTTCACAGTGCATACCCAAAACCCCAGGGACCCTGGGTTACCCTTGAGGTTGTACTCATGTGGGACCTGTCAGAAGAGTACTACAAAGCCTTTGAAAACAACCCTCAGAAGGCTGGTTGAAACTTAAAACTTGAACCCAAGTGGGTTAATTACCTGTTAAAACGTAAATATCAACATCCTCCACCAAATTTAACCAAGACCCAGAGCATCCTAATAACATTCAAAATGTCCAGGATACAATCCAAAATTAAGTGGCATGTGAAGAACCAGGAAAATCTCAACTCACATTGGAGAAAAAGTAACAGATGCAATATATAAGTTGCCACACATGTTGGAATTATCAAGACCATAAAGCAGCTATTCAAATGGAAAGTTAAAAAGTCTCAGAGAAGCAATAGCAAATATAAAGAATAGCCCCATAGAAATTTTAGAATGGGGGGCCGGGCGCGGTGGCTCAAGCCTGTAATCCCAGCACTTTGGGAGGCCGAGGCGGGTGGATCACGAGGTCGAGAGATCGAGACCATCCTGGCCAACATGGTAAAACCCCGTCTCTACTAAAAATACAAAAAAAAAATTAGCTGGGCATGGTGGCGCTTGCCTGTAATCCCAGCTACTCAGGAGGCTGAGGCAGGAGAATTGCTTGAACCCAGGAGGCGGAGGTTGCGGTGAGCCAAGATCGCGCCATTGCGCTCCAGCTTGGGTAACAAGAGCGAAACTCCGTCTCAAAAAAAAAAAAAAAAAAAAAAAAAGAAAAGAAAAGAAAAAAGAAATTTTAGAATGGGAAAATACAAAAAATGTCATTGCATCATATCCAGGGTACATGCTGTCAACATTGCTTATCACTGTTGATGTTAATCTTGATCACCTGGCTGAGGTGGCATTTGATGGGTTTTTCCACTGTAAAGTTATACTTCTCCTCTTCCCCCATCTTAGTCTTTAGTGGGAAGTCACTATGTGCAACCCATGCCTAAACAGTGAGTAGCTGGTGGGCACGGTGGTTCACACCTGTAATTCCAGCACTTTGGGAGGCTGAGGTGGGTGGATCACATGAGGTCAGGAGTTCGAGAGCAGCCTGGCCAACATGGTGAAACCCCATCTCTACTAAAAATACAAAAATTAGCTAGGCATGGTAGTGCACTTCTGTAATCCTACCTACTCAGGAGGCTGAGGCAGGAGAATTGCTTGAACCTGGGAGGCAGAGGTTGTAGTGAGCTGAGATCCTGTCATTACACTCCAGCCTGCGCAACAAGAGCAAAACTCCATCTCAAAAAAAAAAAAGTGAGTAGTTATATTTCACCTCCTTGGAGGAGAGTATCTACATTCTTCTGCATGAAAAATTTATCTCCTGCTTATTCAATTATTTATATTATGAACCCATGGATTCTTACTTTATACTTTGGGTTATAATCCAGTACTATGTTGTTTATTTTACTGCTCAGATTATTCCTGTGCTGGCCATTGGGAGCTTTTTTTCAGTTGACACCTGTGTCCCTTTGACAAACTCCTATCATTTTGTAGGGAAGAAGGAGGTGCACTTTCTACCACTAAAAAATCCTCCAATTTTATCTTGTATTTCTCTTCCCTAACCCTAAAGTCAATCATTTGCATTTCTCTAATGATAAATTATGTTAAACATCTTTTCATATGCTTTCTTATTATCTGTATATCTTCTTTGATGATTACCAGAGGATGGGAAGGTAGTAGGGTGAAAGTGGAGATGGTTAATGAGTACAAAAAATAGAAAGAATGAATTAAGAACTAGTGGTTGATAGCACAGCAGGATGATTACAGTCAAAAATAATTGTACATAATGAAATAATTAGTATAATTAGATTGTTTATAACAGAGGCTGAGGTGATAGATGCTCCATTTACCCTGATGTGATTGTTACACATTGAATACCTGTATCAAAATACCTCATGTACCCCATAAATATATAACCTACTAGGTCCATAAAAATTTTAAGTAAAAAAGTTTTTGAAAAAGAAATAGTGCTGAGACAACTGGATATCCACATGCAACAGATGAAGTTTGACATTTATCTTACACCATACACAAAAATTAACTCAAAACCAATCAGAGACCTAATTGTAAAAGCTGAAACTATAAAACTCTTAGCTGGAAACATAGGCATAAATCTTCATGACCATGAATTGGGCAATAGTTTCTTAAAAAGTACAAAAAAATCATAAGCAACAAAAGAAAAAAATGGATAAGTTAGACTTCATCAAAATTTAAAACTTTTGTGCATCATTATCAAAGTGAAAGACAATCATAGAATGAGAGAAAATATTTGGAAATCATACAAACAACAATAAGTATCTAATACCAGCAATATATAAAGAGCTCTTACAATGCAACACCAAAAATACAAAAAAAAAAAAAAAACCCTATTTATAAATGGGCAAAGAATTTGAATAGACATTTCTCCAGAGAAGATATACAAATGACCAATAAGCACATGGAAAAACATTCAATGTCATTAGCCATTAGGGAAGTACAAATCAAAACTACAATGACATACCATTTCACACCCACTAGGATGGCTAAAATTTAATAAATAAAAAGTGTTCCCACACTGCTGATAAGAATGTAAAAATAGTGCTGCTGCTGTGGAAAACAGTTTGGCAGTTCCTCAAAAGTCAAGATGTGGAGTTTCCATATGACCCAGAAATTCTATTCCTGGGTATTTACCCAAGAGAACTGGAAACGTGTTCACACAACACTAAAACTAGGGCCAGGTGTAGAGGCTCAGGCCTGTTGTCCCCGCTCTTTGGGAGGCTAAGGCAGGCAGATCACCTGAGGTCAGGAGTTCAAGATCAGCTTGGCCAACATGACAAAACCCTGTCTCTACAACACATATAAAAATTAGCTGGGTATGGTAGTGCGCGCCTGTAGTCCCAGCTACCCAGGAGGCTGAAGCAGGAGAATCACTTGAACCCTGGAGGTGGAGGTTGCAATGAGCCAAGATCACACCACTGCACTCCAGCCTAGGTGACAGACTGACACTCCATCTCCCCCTGAAAAAAAGTGGTACACATATGTTCACAGCAGTGGTAGTCATAAGAGCCAAAAAATAGAAACAACCCAAATGTCCAGAGACTGAAGAATGTATAAACAAAATGTGGTATATCCTAACAGTGGAATAACATTCAACCATAAAAAGGAGTGTAGTACTAAAACATGCCACAACATGAATGAACCTCAAGTTATTCTCAGCGAAAGAAGCCAGACATGAAAGTCCACATTACGCATGATTCCATTTGTATGAAAGAGCAGGAAAACCAATAGAGACAAAAAGTAGAATGATGGTTGTATATTTTGGGTTGGAATAAGAGATTGAGGGTAACATGAGGGGATAGGGTTTTTTAAGTTGATGAAAATATTATTAAATTGGTAGTGTTGATGGATATACAACTCTGAATATACTAAAAGCCATTTAACTGTATACTTCTGTCACTGGTAGAGGGTCGTGACTGCAAGTTGTCCAGGTTCTTGGTGTTTTGAACAAGGAATTGGACAAAATGCCCAGCAAAGCAAAGAAAGAATAAAGCAACAAAAGAATGAAAGCAGGGATTTATTGAAAAGGAAAATACACTCCACAGTGTGGAAGTGGCCAAAGCAGCAGCTAAAGGGCTCCGATACCCACTAGAAGTTTCCCATTGGCCACTTCATGCTCACGTCTTGTAAATAAGCCCACAATCAGTCCGATTTGTTGCAGAAAACAACCAATCAGAGACCAGGGTGAAGTTGCAAAGTTACAAAGGAAGGCTTGTCTGCAAACAGCCTGATTTGTTGGAGACAGACAATTTCTCATCTGCTGTGCAGAAAAGGTGGGGCAGGGGGGTTTGCACAAGAAGTGGCCTCTGGTCCTTTTGTTACTTAGGGTTTTCCTCTCAATTTCATCCTAGGAAGTTGGTGTGAAACAGCCTCATGTTTCCCTGAGTCCAGACCCTATTCTGCCTCCCTTTAAGTGGATAAATTATAGGATGTGTGAATTATATCTCAATAAAGTTGTTTTAAAAAGGGATGGTATAAGGAAGAATTCCAAATGATGGCATTTGCTTTCTTCTTTGGTCACTTTGGCTGGGCTCTGGCTACAGTGGGTGAGGGATTCTTACAAAGCACTTGTGCAGCAGGAAGAAAAAAAAATGTCCTAGTTATTGCCAAAGCATCCCTTGGGAACCTCTAACTTAACTTAGGAATAACTTGGGATTCAGACAGATTAAACAAACAAAGAAACTGCTCTTTGTTGAGAATTTCAGGGCAAGAAAAACTAAGAAAAGGCACAGGGTTCTGTAGGAAAAAAAAATAAAAGGATAGAACACTGTTTAACAGAAATGACTAACAGACTCAAGAAAGCTGATATTCGGATTGCAATTATCTGCTGAATCACACTGTGACTGTCAACCTCCCTTGCTATTACTCCTGAATCAGCAGTTCAACTCTACTGCCTTTCCATTTTTTTTTTTGAGATGGAGTCTTGCTTTGTCACCCAGGCTAGAGTGCAGTGGCGCGATCTTGGCTCACTACAACCTCCGCCTCTCAGGTTCAAGTGATTCTCCTGCCTCAACCTCCTGAGTAGCTGGAATTACAGGTGTGTGCCACCACACCTGGCTAATTTTTAAAATTTTTTTGTATTTTTAGTAGAGATAGGGTTTCACCATGTTGGTCAGGCTGGTCTTGAACTCCTGACCTCATGATCAGCCCATCTCAGCTTCCCAAAGTGCTGGGATTACAGGCATGAGACATCACGCTGGCCTCTACTGCCTTTTCTGTGTGGTGTTGAGGGTTATGAACTTAAAAAGTAGGAACTTTGTCCAGCATATGAGTTGCTGCTGTGCTGGAGACAATGTAACAGCTGCAATAAGAACTGCAGAAATGGAGAATGAGAATTGAGCAGAAATCAGAGCTATTAGTGGTCAAGGAGGCATAAGCCCTTGAATTCACAGTAAACTTCTTTAAGGGTATGGCTGGGCATTTGAATAAATCTCTAGATATTAAAGGACACTGGCATGTATGCTTGAAGGCCAGAGTTTCTGGCTCATGACATATGCTGAAGGTCTGAGGGGCATTCATTTACAAAACTTTGATGATAGGGGGAGCAGAGAATGTGGAAAAACAGAAAAGAGGTAAGTGAAGTCACAGAGACAGGAAGTAGAATTATCTTCAGCAATAGGAATGCCGACAGCAGTCATCAATATTTATTGAGCAGAGCAGGGGAGAGACACCGTTTATGGAGGCTTCTGCTGGCTGACTCTTGAACCAAGCCCATAAAAACTGTGATGCTGACACCAGAGAATTCCAGTGAAAAGGTACAGATCAGGAAATGCTTTAAACTACATGGCTCACAGGGCCCTTAGAGGCCCTTCAACAGCCTCTAATTTGTCAGAGACATGAATCCCCCACTCACTGGATGTTGGGAAGAAGTTTTAGTCATAGGGTTTCCTTCAGGCAAGGCCGGTGTCTTTATAATTCTGCAAAGCAGAGAATCAAGCAGAAGTTGAGATTTTTCCTAAGTAGGAAAAGACCTAAACGGAAGTTCAGGAGGGACAATGGACTAGCACTCTTGTCCTTGTTCACTGGAAGGAAGCATCAAGTTGATGGGGATGGACATTGGGATAGATTTTGAGAGCAACAGAGAACAAAGAAAAGGGTTGGGAGTGGCAGTCAGAACACACCTGCCTAGACCCTGGTTACCTACCTGTACTCCCAGAAAGCTGAGGGACCTGCCCCAGAAGGAGATCATCAGGACACAGACATCAGTGACATGTCCTTCTCACCTGCTTCTTGAAACTGCTCTTTGGTTTCCACCACTGGGAGGTTATCGGTTGGTGCCTTGTGTCTTCTGGTGCTCTCTGAAGTCGGGAAGCATTTGGAAGATTTGTGTTTCGGGTCCTCCACCATCTCTCCAAACCCAGAAGCACAAGCTCCAAAAGAGTAAACAAGAGACAGAACCCACTGACTCCAAACATAGTCTTTAGGAAAATGGTCTTCTCAGAGGGGCGGGACAGATTGCAGGTTATACTACCAAGGCAAGGCTCTCGGCGACATGCAAAGGAGCTGGGCATCTGGAACCCGTACAGGTGGTACTGCAACCCCAGGGCTGCCCCCTCCAGGACAAGCCGAGCCCCCAGGTGAGCCACATAAGCCCAGAGCAGCCTGAGGCTTCCAACCCCTGGGGCATCTCTGCTGCTCTCCCCTCCCTGGATCAGGGCCTCCTCCTCCCCCTTCCCCTTTCCTGATTCTTCCCAGTGCCAGATCACGTGATACAGGGTGAAACCCATGTAGAGGGCACTGGGTACAGCCACCAAGATGACCTGGAAGATACAGAAACGCAGCGGGGAGAGGGGTTGGAAAACATCGAAGCAGGCAGCCTTGCAGCCCGGCTGCTGGGTGTGACACACGAATTCACTCTGCTCATCGCCATAGACTCCAGGCCCACTGGCAGCCAGCAGCACAAGGCGGAATCCCAGGAGAACGGGAAGCAGGAGGCGCCCCACAGGGGTAGAGTGGCGGCTCTCCTCTGCCAGCAACTGCCGCAGGAATCTGCCACACATCCTGTTTTGGAGCAGAGGAGAAGGGATCAGTGTTGTTCACCATCCTTCAGGGGGAGCTCCAGTCCACCTTGTCACTCCTAATTCAAGGATCACTTAAGGCAAGTATCTCCAAGTACCTGACTGCTTCTTCAAGAATTTGTTCCCCAAATTCTCTTCCCTGTAATTTGGACTCCCCCTGTGGTCTCAGTCAGAAGGATGGGGTGAGATGCTTCCCAGGGACCATTCTAAGGGTCTCAATTGACCAGAGAAATATGTCACCACCCACCAACTGCAAGACACTATATTTTATGCCATTGAGAGCCGGAGCTTGAGTTCATCTAGGTCGGTCACGCATCCTCCCTCAAAAGCCCCATCTGGGAGGATACCTACAGCCCTACCCCACCTCGTAAGTCTATGGGGTCCCTGGATTTAGGGAAAGCACCCCCAGGGCTCTGAGGGTTTCTGTCCTGGCTCTCTTGAGAGTTATCAGACTAGATGATCATTTGGTAAATTCTCAAGTCTTGCCGTCAGCCTTGTTTTATTTCAAAGTGCAGGTTCAGCACCCTCTAAACACATTTCCAGCAGACCTAGAATTTAACACAGGGTGGGTCTGACATATTTCAAGGGTCAGGGGTTCAAATAATTTCCAGAGGCTCTGTCTAGTGTCCCCTTTCTTTCTCTCCTGTGCTCACCCCGGGCCCATGAACAGACACCTAAATCCTCTCAGAGGGTCTCAGAACTAAGCTGATGTCTTCAGAGCTCACCACAGAGCTTTAGGGGTTTGGAAAGTAGAGAGGGGCAATAGCAGGACAAAAGGACCTTCTGAGGGCCCCTTAATTTGGAGCTCTCATATCTAACCCTAAGCACCGTTCCCTGTCATTCACCTGTCTTCACCTGCAGCTGTTATCACCAAAACAGTGTTTATGTCCTATGCATTCAGGGCCTCCGGAATTCCTGGGTTCAGACAAAATTGTGCTTTCTCTCCCAAAGTCTGCATACCGAAGGGATCTCCCTATATGATAGCCTCCTACCTCCTTGCCCCCTGCTTTTCTGGAACCCTGTGGTCTCCCCAGTCTGGTCCAGTTGTCCCCAGCTCGCCTGTCTCTTTCCCTAAGACCTACATCCTCCTCTCACCAACAAGTCTGCAGCTTTGCCCCACAGTGGACAGGGCCCCCAGGTCAGACTTCAGGACCTAGAGAGCTGAGGCTGAGAAGGAAGGGGAGATGTACCAAAGCCCCCAGCTCAGCATTCAGCATTGTTGGAAAAGCTCAGCTGAAGGGACACCCCTGTTTCTTTTTTTGGGGGGGGGCGGGGGGGGACGGAATCTTGCTCTGTCGCCAGGCTGGAGGGCAGTGGCGCAATTTCGGCTCATTACAACCTCCACCTCCTGGGTTCAAGTGATTCTTCCGCCTCAGCCTCCCGAGTAGCTGGGACCACAGACACGTGCCACCACGCCCAGCTAATTTTTTTGTACTTTTAGTAGAGATGGGGTTTCACCATGGCCAGGATGGTCTCGATCTCTTGACCTCATGATCCGCCTGCCTCAGCCTCCTAAAGTACTGGGATTACAGGCATGAGCCACCGCGCCCAGCCAACACCCCTGTTTCTAAGAGTAGAGAAACAGCTTGCAAATAAAGTTGTCTGGGAGGTAGCAGATTCAGAGCTCTGTCAGGATTTTAGTCAGCGAAGCAACTAAGTTCATGAGTTCATGAGTTGGGAGAGGAAGGAAAGGCCAGGATTTGGAGAAATTTTCTAATATCCAAACAGATTTTTTGAAATTCTATCATGATTTTGGTATGAATTTTTCTTATCATCTCTTGGGAGAAAATTTCCAGGATTCTGTTGGTGGCAGAATCCATGCCAAAGAATTAAGGTATGAGGGAGGGAATGCCCACCCCACTGGCCTGGAAAACCTTCTAGATGCTTTTATCCAATGTGGCCAGAGAGCAGCTGCACTGGCATCCTCAGGCATGCAGAATCTTGGTGCATATCTCAGACCTCCTAAGCCATGTCTGAATTTTGACAATCTCTCCGGGCGATCGTGTGCATGTCAGAGTTTGAGAAGCCTCTTGAGAACCCAGAGCAGCCCCCCAACCTCCACCACCACAAGGCCCCGAGCCAGCCCAGCAGCTCTCTGTCCCTGCACTCACCCAGCAGATTTAAGCAGAACGATTCACAACCCACAGCCAGGGAGAGAGGCAGAGAGAGGAGTCCTCAGGCTGGAGCCCGCAGGGTCCCGCTGGGGGCTGGTCCACCCTCCTGCCTCCACCCACTTCCTTTCCCTGCCCTTTTCATTCCTGGCAGCCTTCATGAAGGGGAAAAGAATTGCAGCTGGAGCAGCAGCGGGCCTACTGTTAAAGAATGAGTTCTGCAGAATAACCCTCTGTTGAGAGTGCAGGGTGTCTTCTAAGTGAACTGAAACAGGGATTTTCAGATCATCTGAAGTGGGGAGCAATGGCTTCAGCGTGTTTCCAGCATTGGGGCATGCAGGCAATGGCAGATAGAATAAAAGCCCCTACTCTCCTGCCCAAAGTACCTAAAGCACAAGCTTACCCACAGAAGAATGTGTGTATGCATGTATGTGTAAGAGTGTGTGTGTGTGTGTGTGTGTGTATGTCTTTGTGTATTCATGTGTGTGTGCTTCATATCCCCAGGCAGCCTTCATCCCAGAATTTGTGGTGATCTCAGGATGTCCTCTCCTCTTGGCTGGGAGAATAGCACAGGCTTCCTGCCACAGCATGATGGGAATCTGCTTCACATCCCCTCAGGAATCCAGAGAGCCCACACCCCTCTCCATCAGGCCCAGGGAGAACTATGACACCTGTCCCCATGGCCATGCCTTGTCCCATTGCTAGAGCGAGGATTCCCTCCAGAGATACTGACAAGAATTGGAAGCAGTGAAGTGAGTGCAGGGAGAATAACTCACGGGGCTGAGGGTGTGTGCAGGGAGGGACTGGTCTCCTGTGTTACAAGTGACAGTGCTCAGGGTCAGTGCTGGACTCTTCACAGAGGAGATGCCAGAGGCAACTTCAGGTATTAGTCTGTTTTCATGCTGCTTGTAAAGACATACCTAAGACTGGGCAATTTACAAAACAAAGATGTTTAATGGACTTACAAGTCCACATGGCTGAGGAGGCCTCACAATCTTGGGGAAGGCAAGGAGGAGGAGCAAGTCATGTCTTACATGGATGGCAGCAGGCAAAGAGAGCGCTTGTGCAGGAAAAAAAAAAAAAAAAAAAAAAACCTTATAAAACCATCAGATCTCATGAGACTTATTCACTATCACAAGAACCAGCACAGAAAAGACCTGCCCCCATGAGTCAATTACCTCCCACCAGGTCCCTCCCACAACATGTGGGAATTGAAGATGAGATTTGGGTGGGGACACAGCCAAACCATATCACCTCAGTTCTGGATACTGCCCCTTGCTAAGGCACAAGGCTCAGTCACAACAGTCCCCTTTATTCATGAGAACAACCAATTCCTGGGTGCAAAAGCATCCTCATAACCCAGGACTGAGACAGACATCCACCACACAAAATCCTATTCCCAGATGGTCTTCCTTTCCCCTGACCCTCTCCAGGATTCCGGTACCTTCTTGTCCAAAATGTCTGCTGCCAGCAATTGGCTCTGCAGGACAGTGGTGCTTGCAGCAGCTGAGATGTCCTACTTATCTGGTGCTCTCCATGGATTCAAGGAGGGGGGTGTTGAGAACATTTTCCAGCCAGTGAAGCTTCTTGACTGAAGGGTGGCTATCCTAAGTGCCTCTTGGAAGCCTTGCAACCTTCCTGTGGTTCCCAGAATGGAGCAACCTGCAGAGCATCCTAAGAGAAACCAAGATCCAAAGAGAAATCTTCTTGGAACTGCTCTCTAAAGCCAAGGGAAAAATTAGCACAAAATAGCATATCAAAAGAGCATCTTACTAAAGTTATATTGAAAGCTTATGTGAATTATAAGATAATTCTCTCCAAAGCAAAGGAAAAATGGCACAAATAGCATATCAAAAGAGCTCCTTACTAACATTATATTGAAAGCTTATACAAATTATAAGATAATTCTAAGTGCACTGATATGTAAACTTAGCAAAGACATGAAAAGACCATTCCTAGAAAAGGTCATTCAAAGCCTGTAAATGTTTAGTTCAGGTAGGACTCAAAGAAATAGTAAAATAGCAATGAAATACTATTTTTACCCACTTGTCACAGACTAGTTTGGGATAAAGTTATTATGTCACACTTTTTTTTTTTTTTGAGGTGGAGTCTCACTCTGTTGCCTAGGCTGGAGGGCATTGGCACAATCTCGCCTCACTGCAACCTCTGCCTCCTGGGTTCAAGCTGTTCTCTGCCTCAGCCTCCCGAGTAGCTGAGATTGCAGGCACCCACCACACCTGGCTTTTTTTTTTTTTTTTTTTTTTTTTGAGACAGAGTCTCACCCTGTTGCCCAGGCTGGAGTACAATGGTGTGATCTTGGCTCACTGCAAACTCTGCCTCCAGGGTCAAGCGATTCTCCTCCCTTAGACCCTAAGTAGCTGGGCTACAGGTACACACCACCATGCCCAGCTAAGTTTTGTATTTTTAGTAGAGACGGTTTCACCATGTTGGCCAGGTTGGTCTCAAACTCTTGGCCTCAAATAATCTACCCACCTCAGCTTCCCAAAGTGCTGGGATTACAGGCTGAACCACCATGCCCACTAGTATCACACTTTATAACCTGGGCATGCAGGCCACTTCCAACCTCTTCCATTCATCTGCTGGTGGTCTTAAGATTCCAGGGTAGCACCCTCAGCCCTTGCTCTTGGGGAGAAAAACTCACAGTACACACCTCTCTCCAAAGATATCTTCTCTCTTGGCTGGTCAAAGTGCAGTGGTGTTTTCAACCAATTTATCACAACCAGTTACAAATTTCTTTCTTCCTTCTCTACTCTCACTGTTTCACTTGACTATCCTAAAAAAAAAAAAAAAGAAAAGAATTAAAAAAACAAACAAACAAAGAAAACAAAGACATCTTCCCTACAAAGTTAATTCTCTCTCCCCATAATTTCCAACAACACTGACATTTTATACAACTTTGATGTGGGTGTAGGTTTTAAGAGTAGCAAGCCAGGTGTCGTGACTCATGCCTGTAATCCCAGCACTTTGAGAGGCTGAGGTGGTGGATCATGAGTTCAGGAGTTCAAGACCAGTCTGGCCAACATGGTGAAACCTCGTCTCTACTCAAATCACAAAAAATTGGCTGGGTGTGGTGGTGGGTGCCTGTAATCTCAGCTAATCTGGAGGCAGAGGCAGGAAAATCGCTTAAACCCAAACCTGAGAGGCAGAGGTTGCAGTGAGCCAAGATCGTGCCATTGCACTCCAGCCTGGGCAATAACAGCAAAACTCCATATCAAAAAAAAAAAAAAAAATGAGTAGCATAATTGTTGTTTATTTGTTTTTCCTTTGAATTGCTGCATCTCAGACTAGCAAATTACTTTGCAATGTGATATGTGTTATATTTCCTAAACATTGCATCTTGAAATCCCAACCAAATTTCCAATTTAACATCCTTTTGACTAACATTATTCAGGGCTTAATAAATGATGGATTTTTTTTCTTTTGAGACAGGGTCTCACTTTGTCACTACTGGAGAGTAGTGGTGTGAACATGGCTCACTGCAGCCTCAACTTCCCAGGCTCAAGTGATCCTCCCACCTCAGCCCCCAAAGAGTTGAGACTATAGACATGCACCATCATGCCCAGCTAATTTTTGCAGAGCTGAGGTTTCTTCGTGTTGTCCAGGCTTGTCTAGAACTTCTGGCCTCAAGAAATCTGCCCACCTTGGCCTTCCAAAGTGCTGGGATTACAAGCATAAACCACCATGCCCAGCCTTAAGTTAATTTATGTGTATGTTGTGAGGTAGAGATTCAATCTCATTTATTTGCATATGCATATCCAGTTGTCCCAACACAATTCGTTGAAATGACTGTTGTTTCCCAACTGAATTGTCTTGTCAAAAATACATTGGCCATAAATTTAAGAATTTGCTTTGGTTCAATGCATTCACTTCAGAGAAAAAAAGAAAAAAGAAAAGAATTTGCTTCCCAGCTTTCAATTCTATTCCACTGATTGAATTTATGTTACGTATATTGTTTTTCTCTTTCAATATTTTTTAGTTTTTTTGGGTCTTTTGTAATTCTGTATGAATTTTAGGGTCCACTTGTCGATTTCTTCAAAAAGAGAAGCTGAAATTTTTATAAGAATTGCAATGAATTTTTTATCAATTTGAGAGTACCACCTAGTTAACAACATTAAATCTAATCCATAAACATGGAATATCTGTTATATAGGTTTTCTTTAATTTCTTTCAACAATGTCTTGAAGTTTTCCATGTAGAAGTCCAGCACTTCCTTGATTACATTTATTTCTAAGCATTTTGTTTTTCTTTATGCTATTATAAAGTAAATTGTTTCTTAATATCTTTTTGGAGGGTTTATTGCTAGTGTATAGAAATAGAATTGATTTTAGTATATTGATCTTGTATCCTGTGATGTGGCTGAACTAACTTATTAGTTACAGTAAGTTACTATGGGTTCCTTAGGATTTTCTCTACACAAGATTATGTCATCTTCAAACAAAATTTTATTTCTTCCTTTCTAATCTAGATGTCTTTTTTCTTGTCTAATTGCCCTAAATAGAACCTCCAGTACTAGCTAGAAGTGTTGTTGAATGTAAGTGACAAGATCACACTTCCTTTTCTTGTTCTTTATTTTAGGAGGAAAGCTTTCAGTTTTGTATATGTCTTTTATGCTTACCTATGTCATTATCTTTGCCACTGTTCTTTATTTCTTTATGTGGACTGACTAGTGTTCTCTCATTTCAGTCTGTAGGATTTCTCTCAGTATTTTCTGTAGGGCAGTTATGCTAGCAGTGAATTATCTCAGTTTTTATTATCTAGGATTGTCTCAATTCCTCCTTCATTTTTGAAGGATACTTTTGCTGGATGTAGAATCTTTGGCTGACAGACCTTTTCTTTCTGCATTTTGAGTATGTCATTCCACTGTCCTCCGGCCTCCATGGTTTCTGACAAGATATCAGCTATTAAACTTATTGAGGATCCTTTGTCCTTCATAAGTTACTTTTCTTTTGTGACTTTCAAGATTCTCTCTTAAATTGTTGGGTTTTTTTTTTATCTTGTCTTTGACTTTTGACAGTTTGATCATCATATACCTAAGTGTGGATGTCTTTGAGTCTATCCTACTTGGAGTTTGTTGATATTCTTAAATGTATCAATTAATCATTTTAGCAAATGTGATGC